GAAATGGCGTCACCGGAAGTAAAAAGAAAGAATGCAGCTGTACGACATCAATGGTTCCAACAAACAAAGAGACCACAGATAGATTTGAAACCTATGAAATTAGATAGTGACGGGTCGTTATGTGGCGCATTTTCGGGTTCGGGTCCTACAATTTGGGTACAACGTGAACCTACCAACATCTTTACAAACGATAACACAGATAGTGAATATTACAGTAATGTTCGGTTTTAAATTTTCGTGTATGTATGTATATAAAGATATTTTTCTCATAATATAGTCTTAAAAAAATTTTTCGCACTTTAGCAATTAGTTTCGCTTCCCAGCTAGATTATGTAATAAGCGATCACGTGTTATTTTTTATAACCCTAGAGTTAGTTTTATTACATGGGTTGGTAAAAAAAGTATTGAACAAAATTATCGATACATAAAATATTTTAATGACATTGACTTGTACGAATATAGTTTTTTATCCGTTTTATAATATATGTCTTATGCGAATATGAAAGCATTGTTTATTATTAACGTTACAAATTATTATTGTTGTAATCTATGTCTCATTATCATTATACAATTTTCGAAGCTTTAACCCAATATCTCTACGCCTTTTACCTTCAACGTATTTCAATGAATCAATGTAAGTCTTTGGCATCACTCTACGAACATTATCTACATTATTTGATCTAAAAGTAAAATGAAAAACGTTTGTGGTTTCGCGTTTTCCGCTTTCAATATCTATAACGTCGGCCGTGACCTACATGTAATAAACATTAAAGACTGAAAAAAATTGTTTAAAAAAAAAAAATTGTTTGTACATACTGCAACTTGGAAACTCTTATGCGGTGGCCCTTCTGCATAAACTACTTGAGAACTCATGTTTAGTATTGATCCGATTGGAACTGGTTTCCGAAAAGAAATTTCATCCAACGCTAAGAATGTTGGTCGACTACGAAGAAACACGCATGCATTCGAAAATGCGAGCTATTTTGTCATTATATTTTTCAAATTGGTTAGTAAATTTGTTATTATGAACTAAAAAACAACAATGAAAACAAAGTTTTTGAAAAAGACAAAACCTCATAAGCCAATATCATAAGAAATCCCCCAAAAATATTTCCATTAATATTTCTGTTCTAAATATAAGAAAAAAAAAAAAACAGTATGGAAATGTATCTAATATCATTGTTTAATGCACATACATTTTCAAACCTGTGGTGTCATGAACGTCACAGACTCCATGGTGGTCTCATCCATCCACACAAAGTTATCGTGCTTCTCTTGTCATTTGCAGGATTCAAATTAGCATAATAAAAGACTATTTAATATATATGATTTATAGCCATGCAATTTACCTGCACCATTATGGTGTTCGAGAAATAACTTATGAATAAGTTCCTTTTCTTCTTCCGTTGGAGGCAGCTTCTTTAGAGACAAGGCTGCTGCTTTATTTCTACGAGCCTTTTGTTCTTAAAAAGAAAAGATTAATAAATTTTGTCAATGGCAAAGCTATTATGATATAATAATAGCATACCTTCGCCCAATTGGAAAAGCTTTCTTTGATGCTCGTTTTCCAATTGTAATGTGTTAACTTGTGCTGCTTTGCCCGTAAAAGGATCTCGAGCTACCATAGTAAATCGAGCATTCAAAATTGTCTTGCACATTGAAAGAGCATCTCGATCAACTTCTGGTGTTGGTTGAATGTTTTTTAGAACCCCTTCTTGTAGATATTCCATCTTAATCAAAACTATATTGAATTTAATATTAATTATATATTTTATCATTATATAATCAATAACCAGTTCTTTTAGATTACCTTCCATGGAACTATACCCAACATATGTAACGTGTCCTAATGATAATAAATATCAGCAATATTCGATCTTTATATATTGGTTTGAAAGAAAATATGAAATGAATACCAGAAAGTCTAATATCAACGATAGGTATGGGCTTTATTAAGTCTAACCTATCAACAGAAGCTGTAACAATAGTTAAAGGTGAGGAATTCCCGTGTTCATTTTCACAATGTTTAAATGCTATAATCGTTGCTAATAAATCAAGGTCCGGAAAGATCTTTCCCACTCTATTTCATCATAAATTTTTAAATAATTATTTTCATTATATATATATATACTATGTATAATTAAACATTAATAATGTGCATTACCTAATGGCGCCATCGGAACTAATATAATCTTCTAATAAATCCGGATCACTTTTAAAAGGTAAAAACTCTTCAACATAAGAATCTGTCACTTTCTTCATTGTTATCTCTCGTTTAGGAATTACAATTGTTTCTGAGGAATCCTTTGGATATTTCGGTTTGGTTTTATTGATTAAATCATCTATCCAATATGACGACTTAATACCGGATCGTGTGCTTCGTGGGAGGATCGTGAAACTTTCAGCCGGTTTTTCTAGAAAAATGATTATAAAATAAATTAGTATCGGAGTATCGGTATATATACTAACGCTAAGCAATTTTAATTCGACTTTTTTATACTGTAGATTTAATTTGATAATCAAAATTTTAAGCACCTTTACGCATTAATTCTTCAACATTCTTGATTTCTCTTGCATTTCTGATTAACCAAGTTGAAGTATTTTTCGATGCATCATCACTTTTGTGCGCATTTCTTACAATGTTATTTGAAAATCTATTTGAAAATTGTCTCACGGGGTAAATCATAGATATGCTTCTCGTCCACCGTAAAGATTTTGTTGCATAGTTTAACATTGGTGTTAATTTAAATAAAAATGATTAATGAGATTATTGTAGGATTAAATATGTTCAGAAAAAAATTAAGAATAATCTTTGCCGCTAGAAAATATTCATAATGATGGATTTGAGGATAAAATATATGATTTTAATTGAATAACGTTCATGAAATGTAGTACACACATATCGAAACTTTTCGTCATTTTACGCTTACTAAGCATATTTTTTTTATTATTATATAAGAGGCATGATGTGCAAGAATGATGATAGTGACTTTTTGTTGTGAGCTTTTAAGTTCACTATAGCACGGCGAGGGGCGATTGTATAACAATAGCGATAAAATTATTTTGCTATTTAAATTATTTCTGTTCTAAATTTGAGCAAAGTGTTAATTTATATCGCTATATATTTCGTTATAAGTTGTGAATACGATTAACCTATATTACTAATTAACCTAGATTACTAATTGAATGGTATGCTTCGTTTGTAAAAATAAATTTTAAATTTTCTTCCAAAAATACCAATCTGAAAGTGCTTTGAGTAATTAATTTAAGAAAAGAGGAGAACCTAGTTATCAAAACAGAAATACGGTATAGTAGGGTTAGTCGTTTGACGAGAGGATAAATTAGTCAGTAATGCAATTATAGTTCTAAAACTACTGTTGTATGAAATTAATACGTGTAAAATATCACTGTAGTAAAGATCCTACTCTTTAAACAAAATAAGATTTTGGTTATGGTATGGTCCTCAGTGAAGTATATTATTATATCAGATTCAATGATCTTTTCAATTTGTTTCAAAAGATTTCTAAATCTGCTGCATATTCTTGGACTGTAGTTAGTAGTTATTCGTCTTATAGTTTTTATTGTGACAAAAGATGTCTAACTAATATGGGTTTATATGATCTTTTTTAACCTGTACCAATTTCAAATATTATTGCAATGCTGTCAATACTTTCTTAGATTTAAATAATAAATCAAAACTGAAGTAGTGGACAAGATTTTGTAAATTGACCGATAGAATAGAATACACCCCAATGCAGGTTTGAGGTTACCTTTTTGATGTAGTTATGGTTAGCAGGTTATATAATATCAAGAATGCAACTTATCCAAAATTGGACAACGAAGATCGCACCTATTATAGTATCGAAGCGACGATCATTTTGGTTTCTTGACGTATATTAACATGAATTCTGATTGGCTAAAGTTGATGGTTTTACGATTACTGTAACGAAAAATTTCAGCAATATTGAAATTCGAAACACGGTTTTATATCCAAACTACATAGTAATCAACTTGGTTTTAAGGGTAAAAAAGCGTTAGCCTAAGCTCTTTGCAAAAATACTAATTATTATTATTTTTTTTTTGATGTTAAGGTGACCTCTTGGTCGCGTTTCTTTTATTCAATTATAGTTTAACTTTTACAGTATGATATACACATATTTGGAGAGTATAGCTAGTTACACATGCAACTTTTGGTTGCCTATTTAAGTAGTTCACTTATTATTAAGTTCTACATTAGATGTTATACCTATAATTTAACTATATAGAGAGTTATCTATTTAAACCCTCTGCATTTATATACATTATTCTATTAACCAAGCAAGAGTACTAGTACCTTCTTATTTTCAGATACTGACTTAGAACTATTTTATTTTTAAAATAAATCTGCTAGAATCTCCTATACTTATAATCTAGCTGGCCTAGGTTTTAGTTAATATACACAGATTGAAATTTACTATTTGCATTTTAGTTTTTATAATAGAAATGTTTTCTGGTTGTTTTGTTTTTTTAACTATACTATAATCTGATTACTGTTATACAATCTACTTCTGTCTTTGTAGAGTTAACTTAAACTCTAATACTACTTTTTAAGACAACTTGATATCTTCTTTTTAGTATCATCTAGTCAGTTTTTTTAGACTATCAATCCAAATAGCTCAATAGAAATACCAGTTTCTTGATATCTGCACTGCAGTTTCTTTTCCTTTAATATTCTGACAGCCTAGTTAGTGAAGTACCTTTTTTTCAAACATCTCTTTACTTAAAACTTGCTAAGTAAGCTCTGTAGCTTTCTGTAATCCTAAAAGACTTATCTTAGTTTATATTAATTAAACTGGCTTGCATATCTTTATATAACTCTTTTATTATAGAAATGTTCTGAGTCTTCTAATTTTAAAAAACCATTACTTGATACAATTACAGTTACAAAGTCTTGAGTTTACTTAACCACAATGATAGTTACTAAATTTATTTTTTTAAATTCAATTTTTACTTTTCATAAAAATTGAACTTGTATTTAACTACTTAGAGTGCAATAACTTTATTACTTTACTAAATTGTTATATTTTGTTTATTAATTATTTTAAATTTTATTAATAACTATATTTTGTATAGATTTTGATTAATATTATTAGTTAATAAAAGATATATAAAAGTTATTCTGAGCTTATAATTATACTTAAAAAATATGTTAATTATAATTGCTTCTTCTAGATAAATAAATATTTTGTATATATATTTTTTTTTTTTGATGTTAAGGTGACCTCTTGGTCGCTTTCCTTTTATTCAGTTATTATTAACTTTTACAGTATGGTATACATCATACCGTATACATATTTGGAGAGTACAGACTAGCTACATGTGAAACTTTTGGTTGCCTATTTAAGTAGTCCCCTATTACTAAGTTCTACACTAGCTATTGTACCTATAACCCTACCGAGTTACCCATTTAAACTCTCTGCACCTATGAACATTAATTTCTAACCGAGCGAGAATACTTAGTACCTCCTTATTTTCAGATACCCAACTTAGGATTTTAAGACAGACCCACCTATAGAGGTCTTTTATCCTCAAGGTAAACCTGCTAGAGCCCTCCGTACCCACAATTCAGCCAACCTAGACTTTGGTAACTTGCACCGAGTCCGAGAACAAGTACTTGCGAGCTGAAGCCGCTACCATTACCTACTTCTGCCCTTGTAAAGTTCACTCAAACCCCAGCACACACTTTACAGATAATCACCACCATTCCTGATCATCAACTGTGCCCCAAACTCCCAATCCAGATGGCCCGGGAGGGACCAGTGAGCATCCCCTGGTATTCCGATTGAATCCTTTTTTCTCATATATACGCGGCCTGGTTGGTATTAGTATTTGCTAAACACCCGGTCCTCGTCTGGTTTACTATTGGTGTTCGATTGCCAATGATGATCTTTTATATAGTACCGTCGAAAGTTTGTGCTACTTCTCTACTCGGGACTTGCCAAATAGGCTTTTGTGTGCCCTGATCCTCTGGATTTACATGGTACATCACTCATTTCGTGCGATTCATATGTAACACTACTGTTCCGCATCCTCCTAGTACAAGCTGGTGTGACCAAAGTTACAGGTAACAATCCATCAGATTACATACAGTTTACCGTAACATATTTCTTAAATTCGAATTTCGTCGCCAGTGGGATTCGAACTCTTGACCTGCCACTTGGGGGTGCGACAACTTACCAACTACACTAAGTCGCCACACCCTAATATTTTGTATATATAGAATTGGATATAATTATAAATATTATATATTTTTTTGTTAAATATTGTTAAGTTAAACTAATAAAATTTGTATTAAAAATTTTATAAATATAATACTAGCAATTTTAATTTTTGTTAAGCTAATAATATATATTATTAATTAGAAAGCAATTTTTTAAAATAGTTGTTTTTCTTATAAATTATATTTTTTTATATTGTATATTGTAATATTAAATTAAAATATAAATTCTTGTATACTGTTGAGTTTAAATTTAGTATTAAAATAAGAAATAAATAATTTTTGTATATTATATTCTTGTATATTGTGAATTATAATATTGTTTAAGATATAAATTCATATATAATATTTTTTTTTATTTTTAGCACAACTCTTTCTGATGATCCTTTGGTTAACAACTTCAGAAAACTGAACTACTAAAAAACATTATAGAAGATATCAAAGTACTTAATAAACTTGGTCCTATGAAAGTAGATGTGTTGTTGACGAAGTATCAAGAATATAAAACTGAGATGTGGACTTCTTTGAATAGTTTTTGTAGAGGTCAAACTTTTCTCCAGGTAGACTTCTTTATTATATTTAGTATCCAAACCAGAAGGATATTCTGAAAACACAAAATGACTAGGTCGACATCTTACTTTCGTCACAACTCTCTTTGACGATCACTCGTACTAAACTTATAGCTAACGAAAACAGAAACTTGTTGGAGAAAAGTAGAAGAAACAACTACAAATAACGGTTTTTACAGAGGTCAAGGATTTCTATATTTCACCTGAACTCCTCTATATATTCAGTATGCAAATTAAAAGCGTTTCTGTACAAGATAACTGGCAAAAAGATGATGCCCTTGTACAGAAAATTTTAATAGAAGCTCTGCTACTGCTGACAAAGTTAAAGATAGTTGGTCTAAGGAGAACAATAAGTAATTTTTAACACGTTCTTTACTGAAGTTTAAGGCTACCCGCAAACTGAAACTCTCTTTTATATCCCTACTCTTGGTCTTTACGGAATTTTTCCAAAAAGTAGAAAAAACGGCATACCCTGTCAAAAGATCACCAACAACAATCACTGCTGAAAAAGAAAAGACACGTACATGGGTACATGTCTACTTTTGGTTATAGTGTAAGATAACGTGATAACATTTGAAACATTGCAAAAGACGTGTCGACAGGATAGGATAGCAACTAGAAGTTTCGACCCTTGGAGCTCTATTTCAAGACCGGATGATTTTTAATATTTTTACATCCTGGATATAGACATAAATAACTAGCGTAGAGTTTAGTCTAGATTATTTGTAGTACTATATAATTTTTACAATCTTGCACAGGTTTAATAGTGCTATCTTTGTTTTCTTTTCTTTGTTTTTCTTTTTTTTTCGTTATTTGTTTTATTTGATTTTATTGGTTTAGGTGAACCAGATCTTGACACCATAGTATTTCCCCATTTTTGTTATACCCTTTGTATTTGTGTTTGTTTTCGTTTTGTAAAAGGAAAGTTAATTTGGATACGGTGTGTGGTACCAGCCTATGACCAAAGGATAACCTCTAGTAAGTTAGGGGTCTGGAGAGAGGCTTGAAGTCCACTAAGGCAAGTCACACCTGGCGAAAGTGTGGGTGCGTCACTTTATGGGTGGATTAAGTATAGCTATTATTAGAGAATATAAATTTCTTAGTATAGTTTAATCTTAATAAAAAGTAGCAGGACAGCTGAATTATAAAAAAAAAATGACTAGGTTAATACTAAGAATATTAAAGACTTGGATTATTACTATACAACTGTAAAACTTATAAGGAACAACTACAAAAAAGTTTCGTTAGCCCACCACTTTTTTTTGAGAAAATTTTGTCAAAAAGTGGACATCTTAGATTATACCTTTCAAAAGATCAACATGTAAAATCACCAAAACAGTTGGTATTGTTGATTTTCTAATGTGGATATTTTGTTGTTATTTACTTTTAGTAAACCTGTAAACAAATATATAAGCAGTTACCTGGAATAAGAGATGTTATGCGGGTGGGCAGACGAAACAAATAACTGAGATAACACAAATAGTGAATTGTGTCTTGATTTCTGTGAACTACTAACAATACTTGAGACTATCTTAAGCTACTCTGTCTAGTTTACCCAAGGTTTTCTAGTTTAGTTTTAACATTTTTTTTACCTTAACAGGTTTTTTAAGTTAGATACATATATTATTGGAATAAAGTTAGATACAAAGCTTTTTTATTTTGTAATATATAATTTTTTAAAGCCTGACATAGGCTTATAACTGTAATCTGTCAGATTCTTTTTTTCATTTTGTTTTCTCTTCCCTCTTTTTAGTTTAGTTTTAGTATTAGATTTTTTTGTTCACTTCTCTACAAGAAGATGTTATCAGTTTGGTGGTATCTTATTGTAGAGTGGTGGTCTGACAGTGCATTCTGAGATAGTTAAGTTTCTTTGAAACCTAGCATGATGTATCTACTTGTAGATTCATTTGCCCAGTGTAGCTGGTTGCTTGTAAATGCTCTTAGAAGCAACTGTGAGATGTCAAACCTAGATATTATGTATACATGAAGTGCTTTTTGTTCATCAACAAATTGAATATAATAAAGAATATTGGCAAGACAGCCAAAGTAGAAAATATATATATATATATATATTTTTTAGGTGTTTTTAGGCATCTCCTGCAAGAAATATATTTCCTGTAGGAAGATATATATCCCACACTCGTTGGTCAATCAAAAAACAGAAATATTATGTGACTAGCATTAGCCTGAATCATGTATAACCAATTAATCATACATAATTGCATATTACAAAAACAATGATCTTGAAAATAAACTCTGATTATATTTACTTCAAATCTAATCAAAAAGCACAAATAACTACTAGATTTTGGTTAAGATTTTTATTTAAAAAATTAATATATTTAACTCAGTTAATTACATTATAAATTCATATACCCGATACAATTTCATGATCTAGTTGTAATTAAACGATTGGATGTAAGCAAAATTTTGCAGTAAAATATAATCAGCCACGTAAGTGGTTGATTATACTTTACTGTAAAAGTTCGCTTACATCCAACTACGCAGAATAAACTAATTGGCCTTTTACTATTTATATAACATAAATTTCATATGCTTATTTTAGTGTGAAACCTTTATTTTTAATGCATTGTTTTTGTTATTTAAGTTAAATGATAGAAAAAAAATAAATAAATAAATCATACCTGCACTCAAAACCCAACATATTCACGATCCCAGTATTAATTGCATGTTTCAGCGAACCCAAGAAGAAAAAAGAAAGTGGTTAAAGATGTGAATGAGGAGAAAAAAAAAAAAACTTACCCACCATTCTCAATACTAATTTCACACTTTGGCAAAACTTATTAATAATACCATCTGTAGTAAAGATCTTAATATCAACAACACTTAAAGGGACGAAAACCAGAAAATGACAGTACTGAAAGTGATGAAAGCCTGAACTAATGATACTGAAATTTCTACAAGAAATGGCATGAAACAGCAAAAGATAAATCTTCACAAAAGACAACACTGAAACAATGATCTCTCAAACGATGGTACCGAAATAACACAAGTCCAGAATCTTTATAAACGATGGCACCAATAAGCAATGACAACCACAATAGTGACACCACTAAACAAACCTATAAAAGAAAGACAAGTTAATATTGGTTCAAGCTAAGGGAAAAAAAAATAACCGAAAAAGGCTACTTATCTCACAAAATCTCAGTTCTGATAAAACAAGACTACAAAAAAAAGTTACATTAGTTCAAAGAAAAAAAAACAATAACGAAGAAAGCTACTTATTTTGCAAGATTCTGGTTCTAATTTTCATTACCTGGTGTTCTAGTAAAGCAAAACTACAAAAAAAAAGTTAATATTAGTTCAGGAAAACCAAAGAAACAAAAAAAAAAAAGTAAACCTACTTATCTTACAAGAAAACAAAAAAAAACTGCTTATATCAAGGTCTTAATCTCCACTACCCATTTCCAGTGAGACAAGCCCATAAAGAAAGTTAGTATTCAAAAAAAAAATAAAATAAAATAAAACATAAAAAAATCACTACTTATTTCACAACAAAGATCAAAGAACTTAGTCATAATCTCCACTACCTGGTTTCTAGTGAAGCAAGCTTACAGAAAAAAGTTAGTATTTGTTCAAAAGAAAGAAAAAAAAACTTATCTCATAGTCCCTCTTCTAAGCAAAAAAAAAAAATCCTCCTCTTAGCGAAGCAAAAAAAAACAAATCTAGATCTAGCACTAGATCTAAATTCGGATTATTAGAAATAGAGATCAGAGATGAATTGACTCCAAATCCAGCGTGGGTACCATTAATGAGAGATATATCTCTCAGAGAGATACTTATAATTTCCTTTTGAATAATACAAATATATATGTTTACTTTTTTGACAAGTTTTATATAGTGCAATACAACTTCTTAAATTATGCATATTTTAATTACAATTATAATATATATATATATTACTTGAATTTTTAAAATTTGCATTAAACTTTTTAAACTCACTTCTAAAACTGACTTTAATCTCTTAAGCAATCTTTTTTGTGTATTCACTTTTAAAAAATTGTTAACTACTTAAACATTAGTATCATTTATTAAAATAATATTTGACTCTTCAACTTGCTAAATTAAACATTTTAATATTGCTGAAATATGTATTAAATTAAAATCTACTACTAATAATGCCAACTTGTGTCTTAATGCTATATATTTACTATAAATTTAATATTTGTAATTATAAACTTGATGTCTAGATCTTTATTGAATCATCTTGTCTAAGATTTTGAATCCTAATCATAGATGCTATTATTAATTTTATTTAATATATTAAAATAATTAAATAAGATACAAAAGTTATATAAATTATTATTTTTTTGTAATAACAACTTTTTATCAAAAAAACTGAAAATGTTGTATTGCATAATTTCAATATAACTTAAAAGAAATAGTGACAAACAAGGTCTTTACTAAACAATAATAAACAAGTACAAATATATAAGCAATCTTAAAGTAATACAATATAATTTACTGGATTTGAATTAACTGATATATACTAAATGTTTCAAATTTTTATAATATTTACAAATCAATATACTCAACAACAGATTTAAATGCAATTTGAAACTTATCCAAAAAATCATCAAGACAAATAGAAGAATCAATTGTATCAGCCTAAAAAAAAAATAAAATAGATAAATAAAAGAAAAATTAGACAATCTAAATAATTATAGTTTTAATAATAGTTTACTTTTCATACAAAGCATATAGATTAGTGAAAATTACCAATGAATAATACTCAAAGCAAACATTAATTTGTGTCCTTTGTATTTCAAAAATCCTATTTGTAAGACCAACTTTAAAGATTCTACCAATTTAAAAAAAATCTGATTTGCTAATAAAAATATAATATTAAAAGATAAGCTGTCTAAATAATTACAATATCTTGATTTTTGTAGTTCTGAAGCTAAGATGTCTTGTATACTATTAAAAATTCTATCAGTGTTGAGTGCAAGTTAACATGTTGGTGAACTATTGCATTAATTGATTTTATATATTGAATAGATAATATTTTGGCAATAAACTTTTAATATAATACAATATATAAATATAATCATATCTAAAATTAATAATACTAGTATAATATAACTACTTTATTTTTAGGCTTAACAATCACGTGATACCGATGTGCTATGACAATCACATAATATCAACGACGGTCATGTTGCTCTAGCAAACTCTTCGTTTAATCACACTTTACTATTTTTTATACTATATTTTTATTTATTATTATTTAGACATTAGTATTTATTTATATTAATTCTGTATTTATTTATTTATCTCTTTATTTATTTTATTATTGTCGCATTAGTAAAAGTTGTCATGTATAATGTCATTACACATATAATTGTTATGTATACAATTATTATGCATACAATTATTATGTATAAATCATTTTGTATAAACATCATAAGGATAGAATTAGCTAAAACTAGGGGTAGAATAGTCTAATAAATCGAACCTAAAAATAGATATGCATTAGTAAAGAAAAATGTTATAAAAACTCACTAAAGAAGAACATGTAGAGGTGGATTTCAATGCCTTCAATACTTATCTTAATAAAGCTCCAAACAAAGATTCTCTTAAAAACCCAATATATACACAATAATCGAATATTTCGATTATACTAATAATAATATAGATAACTTTAAATAAAATTTTTTATAATATTTACATTATACAAATACTTAATTTTTATCTTAAAAATAAAACATTTCATCTAACAATTTTTGATCAGATACAATAGTAATACAATATACCTTTTAAAAATAATGATGCTTCAGAATATTTCACATATAATAATTAAAACTATGATCAAAAACTTTTTAAAACAGTGTATTATAGCAAAAAAAAATTCATTTTAAAATTTAACAAATTGAAAATTAAGAGGGTGCATTAAAATTTTTTTGATGTTTTAAAAAATATGGATACTACAATATAAATATTATATATTTGGAAAGACTGTTTCAATTACAAGTTCTAATTCAGTAATACAATCAGAGAAGTTCATTGTTGGAGTTAAATTATTTGTTGTTTTTAAGAGCTGATTAAGAATCTATATATATAATACTGTTGTTTTGTCTAACATTAATGCTTGCATCACTAATCTTGAATGATAATGCTTATTGACTTCTACAAACAAATATAATGATAACCTATACTTATTTGTTTATATGATATTATTAGTTAAAATAATATTATAATACCTTAAATAAATATTTTATTAGGATGTGGCAACTTAGTGAAGTTAGTAAGTTGTTGCACCCTCAAGTGGTAGGACAAGAGTTTAAATCCTATCAGTGACAAAAATTCGAATTTACAGAATGCATTTGGAAGACTATATTTTATTGGGTTAGCATCTGTAATGAATTATACTGAGAGGTGGTGAAATGTTAATATGATATATAAGTTATATAAAAACCAAGTAAAGCTGCTAAGTAAAACCAACAGATTAGAATATAAAAGTCTGCTTGGCAAGATCCAAGTAAAGAGGTAATACAGATTTTTGATAGTACTATGTAAAGGATTATTACTAGAAGTAAAGAGAACTGAACAAAACCAAAGTTCTTGGCAAGGCACTTTACCAACCAGGCTACTGGACAAGTAATTAGAGGAAAAAGATCTAATTGTAGAGACCAAGAACAGATTACAGTCCTTTTGGGTCATCTGAATTGGTAGTTTGGGGTGACAGAAGTACAGTAGATAGTCTGTATAGTGGGTGCTAGGGTTTAAGCAAACTCTACAATAGCCAGATAGTTAGGCAGTATGACCTGCTCATAAAGGCTTAGAACCTATCTGACTAATATATCTGTGAAAGGGATTGTTAGTATGACCTGCCTATAAAGATATAGAACCTATCCAGTAGTTCCTATCTAAAGAAAACTAGGTCTATATATTAAATATAGATAACAAGTGGCTTTAGTGATGATGTCTTGAAGATAAAATAGTCCTATAGGAAATAAGTTAAGTATCCAGAACTTTTTAACTGATTAATGTAATGAGATATAATAGTGATACAGATAGAGTTGTATTACAGAGGGTTTAAATATATAATCTCATAGTTAGATTACAGATACAGCATCTAGTGTAAAGTCTAGTAATAGGCAAACTACTTAATTAGATGCTTAAAAGGCACAGATATAGCTAGAATATACTCTCTAATATATGGAGTTCTTGTGAGACATTAAGCTGCGAGTCCTTACTCAACAATATTTGAATAAAGACCTTAGCCCAAGGAGGCTAGTTAATTTATAAAAAAATAAAAAAAAAAAAATTTTGTTAAAGAAATATTATTCAAAATAAATGATAAAGCTAATTTTTGATATAATATTTAGCAATAAACTATCTTTCTTTATATTTTATAGAGTTTTAAGCCAATTTGATGCATTATTTTTAGAATCTTGTTCAAAATTAACTATATTATACTTTTTATAGTATTGGATTGCATTGGCTAAGTCTTTATCTAAAAATAATTAATCATTGAATTCAGATTATAGAAATTGCTTTAATGTTTATTGATCAATACTATGAATTATCTTTACATAAAACTTAATTTTGATTATTATATTTTGGAGAAATTGTTTATAAACATTTGCAAAAATTGCAATATTTGTATTAAGTGTATAATCATAATGTGATAAATTCAATTTTGTGATAACCAAATCTACAAAACTTAATGGCCAACATATATTAACAAAGCAGATATACTTGTTTTGACCAATTTTTAATTACATTACTGAGAAGAATCTGTTATTATTTTTTTTGAATTAAACTTTCTTATATATTGACATTTAAATACATATTTATAAACATCATCATTTTGTTAAGATATTTGTTTTTAATTCTTCATGTGAAACCTGTTTTTTGTCTATATACAAAAAGAACCAAGTTTATATGATCTAATTCTCAAACTGTATTCCAACACCCAATCTAGTAGCTTCTTCAAAAGCACTTGTAGGTATAGCTCAAACCTTTAATAAGTATTTTTTACTAATTTTAGCATAAGAAGAACCTATAATAAAGTTAATAAAAAGGGTTGTGCAAGTAAAATAAAATATGCTATTTAAGTTACATTATATTAACATATAAAATAATAAAAGTACTTGTTATTAAAAAGTGTAAATAAACAATTTGTTAAGTATTAAATATTTGATAAGTTATATACTAGGATGAATAGTATGTTAATATTGGTGTATTTGAATATATACAACATGAGTATAAGGTTGAATATCAGTACAAATATTAATTATAAGCAAGTATGAATATTGAAGAACAATAATTAATCTTGATTTATTAAAAGTTGTTTAAAAGTTTTTATTTTTCTTAAATAATTATCTATTTCATATACAAGAAAAAATTTTTGATTACAGATATAGTTAATCAAACACTACTTATTTATTTACAACAAATAATGATATATTCAAATGATCTCTTAAAAATAATTTACTTTATTTAATATTAAGTAATATTATGTATTTGTTATATTACTCTCATTTTTTTTAACTCCAATTATAGTACAAATTAATACTATAAGAATTGTTATATAATACTATAGATAAATATATAAGAAAACTTTTTTTTTTTTTTTTAATGTTAAGGTGACTACTTGAGGGTCTGGCACGTTTTATTAACTTTGGTTGCGAATGTCAGAACAGCCACAGGACCACCCCTGACTTTGTTACATTAACAAGGGTACAAACTAGCCATATCTGCGCCTTTTGAGCGTCTAATTAAGTATCTACCTATTACTAGATTCTACACTAGATGCCATACCTATAACCCACTA